GATTGAAAGTTCATATCTCTTAGATCATATATATCAAATTTTATATTAATCTAAGATGATTTGATACTTCATTCTTATAAAACAAAATTGACGTAATATATACATTTCAAAATATACTAAAATATGAACACTTTGATTACCTTCAAGTTGTTGTTCATTTTTAACAAAATTTGACATATATAATCTAAGAGATATGAACTTTCAATCTAACGGTTGAATTTTTAAAATTTACATCTAATATAAAGTTATTGAGCAGTGTAACACTTAGTAAAAGTTACACCGGTGTCGTTTGAACCCTCCTCATATATATATATATAATAGCTATTTAATAACTATTGTTTTAATAAATATTTATTACAAGTTTACACATTTATCTTATTTAAAAAAGTAATTTTTAAAAAATAGTATATATATTTAATACCATGATTTTTTAATAAAAAGAAATAAATATTCATAAAAAGATAAAAGAAAAATTCCCAGTTTAAGATCCGACAAGATATCAAGATAAGACTGTACATAAATCCAGAATGGTGAGGTCCTATTCTCACTTTCTAGTCTCTCCTTCCCAAATACTGTTTGTGTGTGCTTATATGATAATTTGACTGCAAATCAAAAGGAGTCATAATAACATAAACCAATACCAAACAAGATAAGATAAAATAAAAGAATGAATAATATATACACTAAATTATCATCGATCACAAATTATAATTTATGCTAAATTTATTAATTTTTATAGTATTAATATTAAAATTATATTATACTAGTGAAAAAACACACTCTATGTCTTATTAATATTGTGAAATGTTACAAAAACGATTATATTTGTATATTTTTAAAAATAATAAATTTTTTATTTAAATTAATTAAGTAAAATTACTGAATTATGTAGTTATCATAATAAATAAAGAATAAAATGTCTTAAAATTTATATACACAAAAATGGTGAATTCCTTTTATATATTATTATAGATTATAATTTAAAAAAAAATTAAAATAAATAAACAATACATTCACCAATGATATAATGTCACCAAATCACAATTTGATTGAAATATAAGGTAAGCTCATTGAAGTTTATAATATTATGTTAAAAATTTATAATAAAATATAATTTTATAAAAATATTATGTATATATATATAATGTATTTACATTATATTTTAATATAATCGTAAATTATGACATATAGTAAGTTTATTAACTTTATAACAATTATTTTAATTAGAACGTCAATGCAAAATATAATTTCTAAAAATAAAAAGATATATATTAATTATGTACTAAAATCCAATTACAAATTGCAAGATTTCTTAATTTTATTATTTTTTATAATAATTATGTCATAATTTTTTACTAAATATAATTTTAAAAGGGAATAATAAAAGTAAAAATAATATATATCAATAATATACTTTTATTTAATCACAAATTATAATATACGGTAACTTTATTGATCTTTGTCAATAACTATTTTAAAAAGTTATACTACTAAATATAAAAAAAATAAATAATTAATAGATATTATTAATTATTCTTCAAAAGTTATATTTAAAAGTTTACAAAGCATGATAAAGTCTGTTAAAAACCAAATAAAAGAATAATTAACAAATATTATTAATTATTCTCTAAAAGTTTACAAAGCATGATAACTTTTATATATTTAAAAGAATATTTAAAATATATCATGCTTTGTAAGAATAAGCTTATAACAAATTACAAAGCATGATAAAGTTATTAATTTTGACAATATACATTTAAAAGTTATAGTACAAAATATAAATTGTGAGAAATTAATAGTGTAATAAAATTCTAAAGTAAAATAATAAATAAATAAATAAATAAAAGAGTTCTAAGTTCTAAGTTCTAAGTTCCAAGTTCCAAAATCCAAAACCAAACAACCCTTTATTCTCAGAAAGACATTGGACAAAAGGGTGTGTGTTATTATTATCTAAAAGTACTCGTGGCAGTAAAAGGTTGGGATCTGCTTCATGGGTCCACACGAGTGACACGTGCCTCAACTCAGTTCCATGATGAACTCAACACGAAGACTAGAAGTGAAAAACCAGAAACAGAAAAACTGAAACCAGAGAAGAGAAGCCAGCAGAGAAAAAAAAAGAAAGAAACTGCAACAAGGACTCTCTATTTGCTCTTTCCTTCAGTTTCTCTAATTTGGGGGGTTAAAACATATAAAAGGAAAACCCAAATTCCGAGTAAGAAAATTAATACCAAAGTTGAAATTTTTACATCACACCTCATCTTTTCTGCCTTATAAAAGGGTGAGGAACGGTTTCATTTGAAAAACGCACCACACACACACACTCTGTGAAGACCATTCACGTGCCTTTCCTTGTTCTCTTCTCTTCTCTTACGTTTTCTCTTTGTTTCCCAAGAAAAACGTAATTGGGTTTTTCTCATTTTAAGGCCTTCCTCAGGCGGTGGTTGGTGTATTTTTGTGGGGTTGTCTCTATATAAAGGACCCTTACGCTCACTTTTCATCCAAAGTGGTGATTTTTATACCAAAGGTTTTAGTTTTGGGTTGGTGAGAGTAGAATGGAAGGGAATAAGCAAAAGGCTACTTCTTCATCTTTCACTCCTGAGCTCTTTGGGTCTCACCCTTCTTCCTCTTCTGGGATTTTTGGGTCCATTTTTTCTCCTCCATCGTCTAAGGTGTGCCTTTTTCACTTCAACACCGTGTTTCTGCTTTCATCCTATTGCTTTTAGCTGTTGATCAATCCCTTTGCTTTTTTATTTTATTTTATTATTATTATTATTTTTTTTTGTATTTAATTGTTAAATTGATCATTGGTTGTGACCTGCTTAAAAGTCTGAGCCTTTTCTGTTAGGCCATGTATTTCACTAAATTTACTTTCATTCTTGGAATTCAATTTCAATTTGAAGACACAATGAGCATTTACACGTGAATGTTTGAATTTAGCAGTCTGTTGAAGTACTTGCTTGGATCCTTAAATTGGGTTGAATCACTGGCCAAATTCATTTTCATTGCATATCTGAGTCATTCTGAAAATAGTTCTGATTTATTTTTGGATTGGTTTGATTCAATTGTAGGTGCTAGGGAGAGAATCTTTGCGCCCTGAACTGAATGGCAAAATTGCCAATGAAACCTGGACCTCCAAAATTGGTATTCAAGGTATGGTACATGGTTTTAGCCCCTGGTTTTTACAGAGTTGGTATTTATGATTTTTGGTAAATTTTTGAGATACAACTTTGAATAAAAGACACATAATAGATTATTTCCTACTGGCACTATTTTCCATTTTTCTTAACTTTCCTTGTGTCTGAATTATCTGCACCCTTAGTATGTAATGATCTGATTCCGTTGACCAACATCCTAGCCTCCTGACAGCTAATCAGTGTTATTTTTACATTTGGAAAAGATCATAAAGATATCTATTTTTAGTTTTTGTTTTCGACTTTTGTCTCATTGAATTTAACCGGTTAGCATTTTGCATATATGGAATGATATATTCTGTGTATCTAAATCAATAGGACCAATTTTTGAATAGCTTAAGATATAGTTTTTCTTTTCAAAATTTTTTATTTTCCCTATGTTTCAATGCCTTACCCTTTCAATCAATGCAGATCAATTCTCCAAGGGCTATGATAGCAAAGCCAAGGATGCTATGAACAAGGAGATAAGTTCCATCTATCAGAATCAAAGAGTTCAACCATGTCAGCTTAGTTCATCAATTCTTTATGGTGGCCAGGAGATCTATTCTACTCATCAGAATACAGAGAATGAGGGATTTAACTCTTTTGTGAGTGGCGATGCATTTATTATTTATTATTTATTTTGTTTGTTTTTTACGAATATACCCTTGCTAGATGATTATGATTTAGAAACATGCAGATGATTGTGATTAACCTAGATGATCATGATCTCAATAAACCAATCCCTATAAAGAGTTCAAAAGAGAATGAATTATATTCAAGAAAACTGTTATCATTTGAGTATATTCTACTTTATTTGGTTGACAACTATTTTTTAGTATCAAGAATGTCTAACATAAATTTTTGTTCAGAAGTACAAGAATGATGGAGGTGAAAATGATTCAGAAATTGCTTCAAGAGGAGACTGGTGGCAAGGCATGTTATATCATATTCTTGTCTAAATAGATTTGTGGTCTGAAAATTTGCTAATGGATTGTAGTGGTCTGTCACAAATTTCTCATTCTTTTGCTGTTTGTTAACTTTCTATCCACAGGATCTCTCTATTATTAAAGATCATTCTTGCCAACATATGTGCTCCCCAAGGTATGTATTCAAATAGTGTTTCCTTCTTTCTTAAAACTTAGATTGAAAAGTAAGAAGTCTTAGAAAACAGAGATTTTAAAAACTGAGCATGTGTTCAGGATCTTATATATTTCTGAATTCATACATAAAATTATGGGTACATTTGATCAGGTTTCTAGAATTCTAGTCATATTTCCTGTTCAAGCATTGTTTATATAATCAATTGAAAATTGAATGCATAATGCAGGTACATAGCAGGATAGTGTAGCAGTATAGTCCATCTTTTGTTTTATGGAAGAACTATACAGTGGTGAAAAGGGTTGTGAACAACTATTTGCTTTCTCCGGCTTTGACATAATCATGTTATGAATCTATAATCATTTGCGTTTCTTTTCTTTATTCTACTGTAAATGGCATTATGCCTAGTCATCCTATCGCAAAAGTTATATAGGAAGTTTATGCATTATCAGCTACTCTTGTGGCTGAAGCTTTGCAATTATTTACTTTAACGGAAGAAACTCTTTACTTGCTTCATCTCTACCTTTGTGTTTCAGTTATAGTTAACAATATCGACTTTTCATATTGACTTATTTTACATTCGCAAGCGTGCAAGCAATCTAAAATTTCGAAAATAATGGCTAAAAAGCTTTTTGTACTAGTGAAAGCTTATTTCAATATTTAGTCACATGAAACAAGTATCTTTTTAATAGGTCAAGTAAAAAGTGGTTTTCAGATAATTAATGTTATTTGGATTTTACATTCTCCAGAAGTATTTCATTTTATGGTAAAACTACAAAATTGGATATAAATTATTTGCAGTAGTTGGTTTATATTCAAATAATAAGGTATTAGGAATAAAATAAACTCTAAAATCTTGCACATCACCAAAAAAGTTATTTTCTTTGTTGAAATTATTACCAAAGATCATAATCTAAATTACCAAACATACTAATAGAAACACCGACAATTTTTTTCCATAATCAATTACATTATAATCTTAAAAAATAATCCAATAGAAAGGCATTATTTTGCAGTCAAAGAATCACCTTAGTAGTCCTTTTAGCTATCTACCAACCACGCCCACGGTGCTATCAGCATGTTCTCTTTCTCTGTTCAACAAGAATCCTAACAAGCTTTATGGTCTTGTTAGTACCATAATGCTCATCTTTTCTGACTTTGATACACGTTACGACTTTTGGAGAGAACTTGATAACCGAAAGTTGAAACTTGTTCACTCACCATATGGCGAATTCTTTTGCAATCATATTTTACGATTTCACAAATTCATTTACTCAACTTTCAAAATTTTACATTTTGTCATATGCTAGTACTATTGATTCTTGGAACATTATTGGTGCATGATGTATGTAGATGTTATCTACTGAGAATAATCAAAGTGTTCCTTAAAGGGTCAAGTTGGTTGCACATGAAAAGCAAGCAACTCACATTAACTGACATCAACCGAATCATCTCATCACCACACAACACATCCATCAATGTAAACGACTCTCACATGTGCACAAAGCTTATTGCGTGCACGAATCATTCAACCAAAACAATGAGAAAGCATAGATAGGTTCGTGAACCATCTTGGAAGCTAAGAGAGAGTCATGCATGCAGTGGTAACAAAAAAGGTATAACTGATTTCAAAGATTGTGGCCCCAGTAAGCATAATAATACAGAAAACCTGTCCAACACCAAGTTAACCAACTAGTCTATTCAGCTTCTTATCTTAGCTCAAAAAGAAGGGTTTTTGAGTCTCAGCTTATTCCCCATCCAAAATCTGACCCGTCACCTTCACCTATCCTTATCCTTATCCATCAACGTTGGGACAAACAAGGCCTCTTCATTACACTTGGGGGGCTCTTTTGTTTTTTCTCCTTTTTGCTGTGACTTGTGTATGCTAGTTCAAGATTTTATCTCTCTTTCCTTCTTTTTTAATATGATGTTCTTCTTGTTGGTTCTTGGCAAAGAGTCTAAGATACCATCACTACATTTTTAGCTGGCTTAGTTCACTATCCTACACGTCTGCCATGTTTCACTATTCAATTTGACTTTAATGTGAAAAAGTAAAGGTGTACATCAACACTTCATTTTAACTAAATTCCATTTATAAAATAATTTAGTTCGTATAAAAATAAAATGATACTTTCAATTATAATTTCATGTTCATATCAATAATCAAACTTCAATACTTAATTAAAAAATATAAGTGTCGAACTAATATATTTTAAAAATAATTTAAGATAACGATTTTTATACCAAATCACAATTATGACTATATTTATCTGAAATTTCTTGCAATATCAAGAGTTGTAACAAAATTGTGATTGAGACTATAGCCGCAGTTTAAAACTTTGTTTACACATTTCTTCTCTTCCTTTTAGAGGAGTCAATTAATTGACAATAAAGTATAGAGGAAACTGTAGATGTTAATGTATCAAAAGTGTAGAAACATTGAACATTAAAATTGCAAGTTTTATTGAGGAGGGACGTTAGAGCGCTAATAACTATTATTGATCTGAATTTTACAAGGACAATAAAACATAGTTTTGCAGTCACAGTTGCAGTTAACAGCTTTTGTGCCTTGATTCCTCAGTCCCTCCTTGTCTTCAGTACAAGCTTAAGGTAGAAGATAAGCTGCAAAAATCAGCAATATGTTTACTAGTGATGAACTACTTGTTAGAACAAGAAAATAACCATGAAAAAAATAACTCTTTCAAAGCAAGGAAATATATAAATTGGGAAAGTACAGATGTATTTATTATTAGTTTTTAGGACAAAATTTAGATGCCATTTATAGGTGTGTTAAGAAAAAAAATAGGAATCTCACTTTAGTAACATATATAATAAAGATTTTTATTAAAGGTCGTCGATATAAATTACAAAAGTAAAATTCTAATTTTAATTAGAGAATAACATTAAAAATATTTATAAAATTACATCAAGTTGTATAAATTAATGATAGATAGTAAACTTTTATGAAATACTTTTTACTGATGTATTTATTTATTTATTTTTTAATTTCAGTGAGTAAAGTTTTGTTAATTGGGTATAAATCTGTTCTATTTTGGAGAAGATTGTACAGTTAACGACATTGAGTACATGTCTTTTTGTTTGTCGACAGCATGTATGAGTATAATGTTTGACCAATATCTCTTTGTACTTCATACAAAACAAATATGAATGAAAATATAGAGAACAATATGGTTATTGTGCAGTAAAAACAAAACTAGTACTGCTCTCTCTTCCTTTTCATACCTTTCTCAATGTTATGGTTCTGTTCATGGTTTTTATGGTACAGCATGTGTTCATTTAACAGATACATCCTCTTTACTTCACACTTCTATTCATTTAAGAGGAATCAAATCCAAACAAAATAGTTGTACAGCAAATTTGAATTAACTTCCCCATAAACACTTGCAAGATTAAAAAAATAAGAAGAAAAAATAGAATAACTTTATTCAAAATCTAAACATAACTTGAGTTAATTTGCCAAAATTCTCTCATATCATTTTAACTTATATGTAAGTTAATTTTAAATTATGGAGAAACTTACGTCCACACTTGTAACCAACAGGGCGATTAGCAAGGTTGCATCGTTTTGGGATTGTTATGGCAACTTTAGGGTCTGCTCCAGACAATTTGGCTGTGTTGGAGAGCATAACAGCACACAGACAACTAGGATTCTTGCCAAGTTTCTGTATCTGAGCACAGCAACTCTGAGAAACTTGAGCATTTTCATCTTGTGCTGCAGAGGCACAAGGAGCCAGCTTCAGTGCTTCATTATCTGGTGTAGTAGATTTCCCACATTCCCCTGCACCCTCAATCTCTGAAATACTCACAAACACTAGAACACCAACAATGCAAAAAACCTTAATGTAAGTGTAACCCTCCATTTTTCTCAATCAGTGTGACACCACCCTGCCTCTTGTGATGCCATTTTATAGCACAACAAAAGTGCTTGGTCCAGTCACCCATCTAGGATTAATGGAGCTTGCACTAGGACAAAAGGTGAGTTTATTCTTGCACCACTTTGGTTTTAAAAACTGATCCAAGTCTTGATACATTATTATGGTTGCTTTTCTTGTCCAAACATGGTAGGTGGTATATTTGCTAAGAAATACCGTTTTGTTATTTATGCTTCTAGATTGCGGTGCCATTACTCACATTCCAACAATGTATCATGTCATCTTGCTACCTCTTTAAAAAAAACAGAATCTTAATTTAATAATTGTAAGGTCTGTCTTGAAATATGTCTATTGATATTTTTAAGATCCATTCATATTTATATTAAAATAATATTTGATTAGTAAAAGATAAGTCTTTTGAACATAAATCAGTTTTTGATAGTTAACTTTCAGACACCATGTGAATCAAGTCTATAGATATAAAAAATTCTCACTATATCTTATTCATTTCTAATTTATTATTTGAAAACTAAAATTACGGATTTTCTAAGACCTAAATTCATCCAAATTAATGTATTAGTTAAATCAAATTTGTGTTCATAATTATAATTGTATTTTTAAGACTGAATTGATGCTTTTAAATGTGTTTTTATTTTTATTTTTATAGGCTAAAAACTCTATTTTATCTCATTTTATTTGTCGATTTCAAATGGTTATCTTTAGTTTAATTTTATTTTTTTTACTTCCATATCTTAAAGTATCTCCTTTAGACTAGTTTAGTAATTCCATAAATATTTTGTACTAATGGTCTTAATTTTAATTAACCTGGCTAAAAAGCATCATATTATATGACATTTTTCATGTTTTGTGACGTGTTACCAAGTTATCAAGTGATTGTGGTAAATTAACCAAAAAAATCAATTTAGTGTAAGAGAAGCACTTTTAGAGACCAAAGTTAACTTTTAAACTTAAGAGAGCAAAGAAAAAAAAAAGGTAAAAATATATTTTAGTCATTGTGATTTTAACATACTTATGATTTAGTCATATGTTTACATTTCATGTGATTTTGTTGTATTCCTGGTACTGGATACTGTAAATTCATCAATGCAGGTTTGTCAACCGTAGTTCAACACTAATTCAACCAAATGTGAACATAACTATGTTCCTTTACGGCAAGAGCGACAGCTATAAATTCAACAACACTGAACTGGAACCAATATAAAATTCACTACATCCATAGTTTATAATTAAATATCACATCTTAATAATCAATAACCATAATTAGCATTGTATCAATATTTTATTCACTCTTCCATTATCTTTAAACCACGCTATTAGTTAGGCCTCAACAACATTAGCACACTCTTCTTTGATGCTCAACTATAAAGGGTAGATTTAATTAATCATCCATTCAGGTCTAAGTAACACAATATCATTACGTAACTATAATCTTAATTAATCACTGTATAACATGTATTTAAAATTTAAAATTTATAAAAATATTAATATTACTTAATTTCATGTTATGGAAAAACTAATTAGGTATCAGATGATTCAAAAATCACCTAATAATTTCTTCTAATACATCAAAACTAAAAGCAACTCATTTCAACCTTGTCATAAAATAAGTTTTCACACACATGTATACACTTACTAGTTGTCGAATCATTTTGACCAAAGCAAATTACTTTATCATATTTTTAAATATATTTCCATTTTTAATTCTCCATATCATTCACATTGAACCAAGAGCTAATTAGCATATAGAATACTCCATCGAGTATCGAATATAAACAAAAAATAAATAAAGCTGATTTTGGTTTTATATAAGAAAGTTTTAATTAATTGTATAATTTAATAGTATATCTTCAAATATCCTTTATTTAATTAAAGTTTTATTTCTAGTGACTCATTTTCTTTTTCAATATCAAGTTTTAATAAAGGACAGTTCAAGAAAAAATTAAATAAAATTAATACAATTAAATGATGTTAATTAATTTAATGATTATATTTTTTTTTCTTATATACGAAACAGGAGGGAATACCAAATTAGAAGCGCTTCGTTATAATAACAAGCACATAGTTTTAATCGAAAGTTTTATCTTTATACCTGACACTACTCATTTTTTTTAATTTGTTTTTTACATAAAAAAAAAAGAAGCTTTCAAATCAGCCTCTAGCTTGAAATTGTTTATCAATATTAATATTCAGGCTCTATCTATGAATTCTCCACTTTGGTCCTTATGTGATGGTAGGGACAAAATTGAGAACAACATTATAAATGGAGACTCATGAAAAGTGAATACTGTTGTCATATACTATAGAGTGCAAATGAATATCATGTATATTTAAGGACCAAAAGTTCGAAATAACTAAATAATGTACTCTAAATTCATAATCCTTTTATCAACATTTTAGTGTATATTCATATATCAATTTAAAACACACAATTAAACCATAACCGCATTAACATCTCAATAGGACTATAGGCACGACTAATGTTGCTACTGCATTAATCTGTGATTGCAAACCAAATCAACCACAATTTCCTTACAACGTAAAGTTGCAACTTAAAACCATGTTTTCTACGTCTTTGATATACACAAAGACTTGAAAAAAAGTTAATTGAAATACATTAACAATGTAAAGAATTTCTATGCTGTCAACCAATGGACTATCATATTATTAAAAATTATTAACTTCTAAGTAATTACCTTAAAAATCATACTTAAAATGCCATCTAATTAGTTGACGATATAATTTTTTTTTTCTCACATTATCAATGTATTAAAACTAACTGGTCAATTGAAATCCTTTCACTCTAGCCACGCCCGGTCTAGTACTTTGAGCTTATCATCTTCTTCTGTGCAATCACTGGACTCAATATCTGCTTCAATTGCTGGCACTTCATCAAATGTTTTCAGTGTTGGAACAAATTTCTCCATTGGACGGAAGCCATAGTCCCTCTCTTTTCTGTCAATGCTACCAAACTCATTCAAAATTTTATTAACCCCTACCCCTCTATGGGGAAACTTGAATGGTGATTTTGCACCCTTTGAAGGGCTAATACCTTGTGCAGGAGAAAAGCTTGGTGTGCCAAAAGATGATGATTTATATGGAGTAGTGCTTTGGCCAGGCATTGAGTAAGGAACTGAAATGCTCTTTTGAGCAATTACACCAACTTTTGGCAGAGGTTGATCAGAATGTTTTGTTAAGTCATCCACATAGAGCACATCATCAATGCGTGCAACAATGTTAGATGCCAAACTCTCTAGTACTCGTGAGTAGCTCTCCAGAATGGACTTCCCAACATCCTAGCAAAAAGAACAAGTTTGAAGTGCTGAGATAAAAAAAATTTCAACACAAAGCAGATATAAAGAGGCTAAGACAAATTTTTGGTACTTGAAATCTTGACCCTTTTTATTTTTAGTCTTAAAAGTTACAAAATCTTGTGCTTTTGATCCTTATTGAAGGATTGTTGAGCAAGGTTTTAAAATGTGGTCCATAACTACAATTGTGATTCCAAAATTAAGGGTTTTTTAGTCTTTATAACCACAACTGAAGCTGCATCAGTCACATTTGTCAATAATTTTCTATAATGTTAAGAATTGCAATAAAACTATGATTGTGACTGTAACCACAATTTAAAACTTTGTTGTTGAGGACTGACAAAACAATGTTTTTATTAAATGTAGGAACTAGGAAAAACTAGCAAAAGCATATTTAAGTCACAAAAAGGCTTCAAGATTGAGCATGATAAATAATTAGATACTAACCTTGTTGCATTGGATTTTGCTCATATCTAAGGCTGTTTGAGGGAGACCAGGGAAACGCTGCTTCAAGGAGAGCAGAAGGCTTTCTGATCTTTCTGCAAGAGTTTCACTTTTGTCTCCCTCAACAATCAGTTCCCTGAGCATTTCCCAAGAAGATTTTGAACCTGATCTCGTAGTGCGACCTGGAGGCCTTGAGTTGGTCTTTTTATGCCAAATATAAATGGAAGCCTCTACTCTGTTGGCAATCTCTATGGCTTGATGTTCAGATGATAAGTCAAGGCATGCCAGCAAACATTCTGGAGAAAAATTGTCTGATGTAATATATCTATAAATCACATCCCCCAAGCTGGCTCTTGCAGTCTGAAAGAAGGGTTGGAGCAGAAATTTTATTAGGGAGTTTGGAACAACTTATGCAAAGCTCATTTGGATTTATGAAAGTGACTAATGAACTTTTTATAAAGGACACAACTTACATATAGTATCATAGGTATTGTTGGTACTATTCTCTTATTAGAATTGGGGTTTTATTTTAGTAATATGCCTTTATATATAATATAGACCTCAATAATATACATTTATGCATATTATTAAAATGAAACTTCAATTTTGATTAGATAGCAGCACCAACAATACCTATGATACTCCTACCATAATAAGTTTTTTTAGCTTATTTCAATAAGTTTCATGAATCATGATTAACATTATGATATACGGTCTCACATCACATGATAAAAGGAGCTTAATCAAATTGTTTAAGCAAATGCACATATGACATTAGTATCTCATGATGTTTGAAAAACAGGAAATGAACATTGATATTATACCTTTGGAAGAGATTCCAAGTAAGTATCAGGAATCTCCATCTCAGCTAAAGAAGTGCTGTTAATGGCCATTGCAGCTTTCAATATCTGGTTTGCGCAATCCCTCTTGTGCTGCAACTGCTTTCTTGAATTTTCATGGAGACCACAAGGAGGGACTTGAGGCACAGGAAGCCACCATTTCTCCTCTAGCCGCTGAAGCGCTTGGCGAAAAGAAGATGAACCATCTGCATCCGGGGCCAGAACCCCTTGGTCCACATACCTGAACTCTGGCTTCACAAAACTATCTAGTATTTCCTATGGAAAAAGAGAAAATGTTTAGAATGTACCATTTCTTGAAAATGGATTAATTTGCACTGAATGCTGTAGAGTCTTACAAGAAGCATGTTATCCAATTTTCGCAGAGCTGGCAGATTGACATAAAGATCTGAGCGAGGCCTACAAGTCATGACCTGATTCACATGTGAAAATAAACAGTAGTAAACATCAAGACCTATGTATATATCCCTTATTTGGTAGAAAGGTTAATCAATAATAAAAAATAAAAAAAAAACAGCATGGATGTTAGATCTTTTCTGCTGCATTACTCTATGATCTTATATTATATATATACTGCAAGAGGCAGGCCCTGCAGATTTTGCATTGTGCATGCGATGCATGAGCATGTTTGTCTCACAGTTAAACATGGATTATGGATCACATTTTTAACACATACTTGTTAATTATCATGATCGAGTACTTTACTCAGCTACATCGTATCAATTTGCATTGTAAGCTTTATGCTTTTCTTTTCAAAACAGGCGTATCAGCTAGAATAAATTACTAGAAAGCTTTCGATTTCAATATACAGTCCTTAAATTTCATGATTATATCCATTATGACATTACAATATTAATCTAATGACCGTCGAAAAATTCAGGCATTCATAATTCACAAATCATGGGGAAAATTGAAGGAGGGCTTTTTTTTTTCTTTTTTCTCTGACATCTTGTATTTTAAATGCTGAAGGGAAAAAGAAGCACATATTTATAGCCAAAACATACATCAAACAACTAAATAAGTCCACATCAAAATTGTTTCTGAAGTTCATTTGTACCTCAAGCTTGCTTCCATCAGGAAATGTTTGGCATGTAGGCTTCAATTCAACAATATGATCACTGACACAAAGAAGCCATTCCATCTCTCTTCGCCACATTGCTTTCTTCTCTGGTGACAAAGGCTCCAATCTCCAAAGTTGCCCAAAGATGGTGGCTACAGATTCAGAAAATGTTTAGATAACAATCAGAACTTCAGGTTCGAGCACGAATTCGAATTGCAGTAATTAAAATTCACCACAACAAACATGCAACAAGAAACTGTTTCATGGGCACATACCACATAGATTAGTGATGGCATTGGATATAGCCAAGGCTGTAGCGACTCCATTTCCAGAACCTGACATATCTTCTCCAAGTAACAATTTTGCGAACCTCTCCTTCATCATCTCAATCTCTAACTCTGAGAACCAAAATCATATTAGGAAACCTAGTCATACTATATCAGCCAGAAGTACTAATTGAATAAATTTCTCCAAAAGCATTTCCAAGAGAAGAAAGAAAGAAAAAATTAAATTAAATTCTCCATAAATTAAAATTACCTTATACATAAATTAAAAAAAAAAAATACATACTGGAGAAAACGGACTATGTACAAAAACATATTGAATTTAAATACCTGGCATTGGTAACACTGACACTTGCTCCTCAAAATTCTCATTACACAAGTCTTTTTTCTCAGATTCTTCACTTCCACGTGGAGTGGTACAATTAGATGCATAGATTTCCTGAACCGGCCACCCCATTGAAGTTGATGAAGCCGAATCTTCAGCACTACCTTGACTCTGACCATCAAGTTCTGTCATCTCAGATGACAGAAACTCAGAGCTGGAACTGCTCCCTCGACCCTTCTCTTTCATCAAATCAGCAAAACTCTTATCATTGCCGCCATTTTCCCACTCTTTGTTGCCTTCAAATCCTTCATTCTTCTCAACCAAAGCCACACCTTCCATTGCTGCTAGTGCTTTCCCTTCTAGAAAACAGTGATGTTTGCTACCATGCCAACGAGCAGAATCAGATTATCAGAATCCTTCTCATGCAACAAGACCCTTTTGAAAGTCGTGAAAAGTTTGAGGCTCAAAATGGAAAATGGATTGGATTAAAGGGCATGGTAAAGCACATTGGTTCAGCTACTGATAGTGTTGTTTGTTGTTGAGTTTGTGCTCCTTGTTGGGTGAAAGAACCTTTCATAAGTTGTCAACAATGTTTGATAATGAAGGGTAGATAGATACATTGATGGACCATTTTGTGGATATGTCTCATCGCTTACTTATACGTGAAGAATGAAAGTGAAGTCAATCATGATTAGTACGCTCAAGGCACGTGAATATGAAATATACATGAGAGAAAAACTCATTAATTCTTCACTTCATTTTAATATACAACGCTCTCCTTATAGGGCAATTTCAATCTATCTAAATAATGAAAGTGGTTATGATGAAATTATTATATATATTTGGAGTGAAGTTTTGGAAGAGACAAGTTTTTTAATTTTAAATTAAGAATATAATATTTATAAAGATGACTAAAAGATAAGGTATTAAATTTATGTTAATTTGATCACTAGGTTAACCTAGTGATTAGGAGGGGAGGGGGAACAGTTAGAAGTATGATGACCTAGGTTTAATTTTTATTGCGACTATTTTTGTAATGTTTTCTATCTTTACAAAAAAAAATTATGTTAATTTATCATTTTATTTAATTTTAAAAATTATAAAATATTTATTCATGAGAAATATATATATATATATTGCTAAGAAGCTACATTTTCAAACATAACACATAATTATTTGAGAATTTCTGTCTTGGAAGTCCATGTGAATTTGACGATACCAATTATTGTAGCACGTCAAGGTCGTGTCTCCGGTTTGTTATCCCTCCGCTCCGGTGTGTCCATTCACTCAATAAAGTCACATGCACTTCTTTTAGATCAATGGTGAATTAATGTAGCTAGAGACAAATGAAGTGAAACGCCATGAAGGGTAAGAGATTGAAGGTTGTATAAATGTGAAGAAATCTGAGAGTAACATTAATTGTTCTGCTGTAAAAGAATCAAATTCAAAAGGCTAGTAGGAAATAGTAGAGGTCTCAAACATGATTCGGTATGATGGGCTCATTGGGTCCGTTGGATTATGTCATACCACATTTTCACCATGTGACAGCTCTAGGGAATGGTTTTTATTTCTCATGTCTCCAAGCAAGCAGAGTAAGAATTGAATTTCAGGATTGAGGTTCTGTAGGCTCTTATGGGCCACTGTGTTGATGGTAACAAGAGATGTCTTATAAAGGGATGTTTCTGTCTCCAAGTGCCTTACATCACATGGGGAGTCCCAAGAATCACAAAGTAATTAGGCTTTTCCACAAAAGAATTTTTCCAAAAATAGGGTCTTTATTTTTAAAGGAATAAATCATCAAATTGTCAATAGGGTACATTTGGTGTGCATAGGGCCTATAGTGTTACTTTACTTTTGTTCCTTTGTTTCCCTTTGTATGGTTTGTCTAGGGTTTATAAAGTCCTTTTGATCTTTTGAATGCCCAATATTTGACCATGGAATAAACGTTATCATGTTACATTATTTTTTTTCCTACCACGAATATTTTCCGATTTATCAAGACTATAATTGGGAAGTCATTTGTGTCAAGAAAATGAAAAAAATCCACTTTTTCATGGACAAACACAAAATAGTCTTTTAGAACTTTTGTTTCAATATTAGTTTGAGTGGTTCAAAACTTCATCTCAAACATGCTAAATCATAAATTTTTTCGCTCACATTATTACAATTATCATTGATCAGAAGGATTTTCACACGTAAAAGATGTAAAATACAAAATTTCTCACTAAATAAATCATTCCTACAATTTTTAAACAGTGTCTAACTAGTATTCCAATAACATCCATCATTTTTTAGTTACATTCACTGTTTCTTGTAAAAGATTTAATTTAAAGAAATCCCTACAGAAAATGACTTGAGTAATTTGTATGAGGTGCTAATTTCAATGATAATGTTATCATTATATAAAAATAAATAAATTGAAATAAAAAAAACCATTCAATCAGACATAATCAAGGGCATAAGAAAAAAAAAATCATTTTGGAATCATATGGAAAAGGACATAGCTTTAAGATAAGCAAGTTGCAGTTGAGATCTGATAAATAATCCATAATAACATAATTTCTGACTTACCTTAGAAGGCTTTGTCTAGTCCCAAAACTGACACAAATTTCTCCTTAGATCATAATGCCGGTTGGTCCAACAGAATTTGCAGAGCCCAAAAGTTTCTACCAAAGGCCAATACAACAACTGGGTTGGTGTGTGTGGATTAAAATTTTGAGATACTTGAGAGAGAAATAGAAAATTTGAACCTAAAAATGATTTATTTCTTGTTTCTCCATTTACTGGTTTTGTTTTCTTTGTTTATGGTAATTTTCAAAATGAAGTGTTTAATGTTAGGATAGTGTTTCTTTTAATTCGCACTGGCTCCAGTTGATGTTTCGAATGAAAAGAGTTAAAAGTTGACTTGAGGATGCTCATTTATTGCCCCATTTGAAAAATAATTTAATTTTTTTCCCTGTTCTATTAAATGTGTAACTTGACAAGTATTAATACAATTAATAATCTTTTTGTTACATAAAGACTGAATTTTAAAGATTCTACCCACATATTAATAACTACAATAAATATATACTAAAAGAAATGACATAGAAAAATATTATTATAAATATAATATATATATAGGTATAAATATATTTAACATATATTTACGTACAATTTTTATTGTTAATTTTGAATTAGGTATAATAACATATTTTGCAAGTATAACCTATACCTATATTTTTTAGTATATCAATATATATTGTATCTATAATTTAAGTAAAAATAATTTTTAATAACAAGTATGTGTTATTACATGACAAATTTTTTGTAGTGATATATTTTTTTATGCAATTTTATTAAAATAATATATTTTATTAATAAAAGCATTACTTTTAAGTGATAGTTGAATAATTTATAAAAGAAAAGTTACAAAAAATAAGTATTTTTTAAATGTTAAGACTGAGTTGATCATAAACGAAAAGAATATTTAATAGTGTTAAACGAGTGAGTATTAAAAATTAATGGTAGGATTAATTTTTACATTTCTCTTTTTTAAAATTTGAATTGGATTTCATGTCCATGAATATAATTTAATTTTTATAATATTTGTGAAAAGATATTTTATGATATTATTTTTATTGGTGTAAAAATAATAGTATTATTGATTTTTTTTATAATTATTATAATAATAATTGATGTGTTGTTTTTTTTTAGATTTTGTACAATCCTATCAAAAAAAGATTTGTATCATGAGAATTTTTTCATATAAAAAATATTTGTTGTCTTTATAAAAAAATATTATTACTATTATATCTTTTTCCTTTGTCTTTTTAATATATATGGTCAGAATTGAATATGAATATTTGTTATCATATTTAAAGAATTCAACTTCTACCAGTACTATGTTGAATATGATGAATCTTGTGGTATTTTTGTTATTATTTAAAAGTTATAATAATTTTTATTATTTATAATTATTATTTATTAGTTATAATATATATAGTCTTGTTTTTCTTTAATTTTATATTTTATTTGTATTTTTATATTAACTTCATTATTACTTTCATTATTTTTAATTATTACATTTTTATATTTTATCTTATATTTAATTAGTGTTGATTATATATATATATATATATATATATATATGAGGAGGGATCTTTTTA